GAGATTTTGTATGGATCTTGTATCTGCAACTTTTCTGAGCTTTATTAATTCTAATGGAGTCACAGTGAATTTCATTGGATAAGATCATGTGATTTGCAAACAGAGACAGTTTTACTTCATTTTTTCCAAGCTGGTTGTCATTTATGTGTGTATGTATCTTGCATAATGGCTCTGTTTGAAACTCTAATACTTACTGAATTGAAAATGTTGAAGGAGACATCCTTGCTGATCTTAGGAGAGGACATACAGTGTTTCCCCATTAAGTATAATTTGAGCGCTCCCATCCCTGTTTTAAATGAGTTTTGTTTTATTTATCGCTGTTCTTCTAAAGCTTATCTTGTTTAGCATTTGCTCTTAATAACTTTATAAATTTGATCAGGCAGTTTATCATTTTTAAGTACTTCTTTTCTTCACTTTCTTACCTCCATATTCCTTCTATATGGCATTTTATATATTTGACTCTATTACTGCATGTGGCCCTGGCTAATTAGTTTTGATTGCTATATAATATTCCATTGTGTAAATATACCATAGTTTATTTAACCTTTATCTCGTCTATGAATAATTAGTGTGTCCATGGTTTTGCTATTTTGAAGAGTACTTCCATGAAAATACTCACTTATGTCCTCTAGGGTATATTTTCAAGAATTCTCTTGGAAATACACCCAGGCATAGTCTTGCTAAAGAAATATTTAATTTTATAAGATAATGCCACATTGTCTTTCAATTTACAAATTTACTTTGCTACTAGTAACATATAAAAGGTTTTGATCCATAGTCTGTTCATTTCTTTGCCTTGATGATCTCTGATTTTTGCCCTAAAATGAATATACAGTGTTATCATAATTTGGGGCTTAGTTTGCATTTCCCTAATGACTCAATAAGGCTAACGTTTTCTCATAGGTGGGTTTCGTTTAACCCAGGTTCAGTGTTTCCTCCGGATGCTCACTCCCTAGGATTTCCAAGTTGCACACGTGTATGGACCCAGAAAGCTCCCACTTGCACCAGGGAGCCCAGAGGCAGAAGGCAAAGATCCATGTGATTCCTAATCTACGCGCTGTCCCCTTGAAGTCAGTCCGAGCCCCACGAGTTCGTGGGGCTGTCCTGGCATGATAGAAATCAGGGATGGGGCTGAGAAGATTTGATTGAAGAATTAGTGGCATCTTTCACAAGCCTGAATTTGTTGTTTCACTTTTTGATGCCAAAATAAGAGTATTTAAAAAAATAGATGGATTTATCCTATCATATTTAATAATATGACAGTGTATATTTAGTCTCAGTTCTGTCATTTTATTATGCTTCCTGATTTTAATGCTTCCTTTAAAAGTATTTTACTTCATGGTCTATATTTCCATGGCTTCTTTTTATGTATTGCTTTTTCCTTTAATTATTTGGAAGGCTTATGGAATATTTTTTAGTTTCTTTAGTGGTTGTCGTATAACTATAGGCAATATTCTTTTATATCTTATTTATTGAATTGTAACTAAAGAGATTTTCCCATCATGAAAAACAAGGAAGTTAGCTCATTTCATCTACCTTACCTTCTCCCATGTCTCACTTGGGTCTATTATTATTTATTCATTTACACCTTCAGTGATACCCTTCTGTTGTACACCAACTGCTTAATTTATCAATTTCTGATGTGTTAATCCCCTTCTTCCAAAGTATTTTTTTAAAATATATATTCATCCTGCTAGGAACTCAGGGTACATTTTTTGATATAGAAACTCATATATTTCTTTAATTCTAGAGAATCATCAGGTGATTTCTCTTAAGATAACATTTCTCTTTATCCTCTATCTCTCCTTGTGAAACTCTTGTTCGATATGCCTGGAGATCTAGTTTCTTCACCTGCTTGGTTGTTTTCTACTCTGAACTCATCTTCAGAAGGTGCTGGTTTCTGTCTGGGAGGTACAGGTTTCACGTTGGCCTCAGCCACAGCCCTTGGGGTTTTCCTAGATTGGGCAGGTTTGGTCGTAACTCTGTCCTTCAGGGCCTTGCCTTGTTGTATAGAATGGCCTAGGACCCTCTTTTACCTGGGGTACAGATCTAGAGTGTGGATTTCTCTTGCATCCTTTTTCTCACTCATGGTTTGGGGCGGTGGGCCCACTTTTATGAGTGGAGGGTGGTGGTTTTCTGGAGTTTTCATTTTACTGAAGGGACAGATTTTCCAGGCTCCTGGCTCAGAGCAAAAAGATCACTCCTGGTCTCTTCTGTGCACAGGGCCTGCTGCCTTGCCCCCTCATCCCTCATAGGTACTGAGCAGGAATATTTTATCCAGTCCTTATACCTCTGTGGGCCATTTGGCACTAGTTTCTGCTCGCTATTCTGGCTTTGAATTTTCTTTTGTTTCTGGCATGGGAGGATTTTTCCCTTCTTGCTTCCGTATTCACTGATGTGGTTATAAATCTGCTTGTGTTATGTGTCAACAGCATTCCCTGTGTTTGTAGTGGGTATGATGGTTTCGGTGAGGGTGGGAAGGGTTCTGTCCCCAGCAGTTTTGTCTCCCTTAGAGAACAGAGGGGATGGTGGTTCTGGCTGTAGAGGCTAACCCTCAGTCTGGGAAGTTAGCCAGAGAGCTAATACAGAATTTCTGGAGGAGCTTGTATGGGGAGACCTGGGAGGAGAGTCCCAAGAGACAGAGATGAACAGCCTGGTGGAAATGGGGACTTCAGAGGCAAGAGAACGTCTGGTGAGGTTGGCTCATACTTAACCCCCAGTGACCTGCCAGACTGGTCAGTTATTACCATGACCTTCAGGAACAGCCCTGGGATACTTGACTGTCTTCTTCAAACAATACTTTGGAGAAATAAAGGAGGGGAGTCTATCTTCCATGTTAGAGACCACCCAAAATCAAAAACAAAAGTAGGAACATCAGCAAGTTTTCAGAGATAGGAAATTGGAACAAGAGGTGACCATGAAAGCTAACTCTCAAGAATTTGCAGGAATCTCAGGAGGACATTGGGCCTCCCAAAGGACATGAGTTAGGCTGGAGCTAACTTTATTTAACGTGAAGGGGTAGAGTGGCCCTCATGACCCCTGGGTTATAAATACCTGTCATATTCCTTGTTTTATTTTGTCTAAATGACAGGCAAAATTATTCCCATTCTCAGCAGCAGTGGTTCCTAAGTAGGGGTGATTTTGTTTCCCAGGGGACATCTGGCAATGTCTGAAGGCAGTTTTGATTGTCACGACTGAGGAGAGGGGAGGATATTCCTGGCATCCAGTGGGCAGAAGTCAGAGTTGTTGCTAAAACCCTAATGCACATAACAGCCCCTTGTAGCAAGGAATTATCTGGCTCAAACTGTCAATAGCACTCACACATTGAGATATCCTGATCTAGGCTCAGGTAACTAAGGGTCAGAGAAATCAAATAACCTGTACTACATCACAAAGCTGGAAAATGAGAACAATCATAGTTACATTAGTTAACTGCTCTTTCTGTGTAGGGCATTGCTCCAAGTACTTTCTGAATATTATTGCATAGATGTGGAAAACAAAATGCAGGAAGACTGAATGTGGCCATGTGCCACATGGATAAAGGGACCAAGACAGGACATACACCTGGGTGGAAGTCTCTGGAGTCTTAAGTGTGGGCTGCAGTTCAGAGGAGCTTGAGTAGGAGTCCTATGTGCTGCCCTGCACCTCACCTCCTCTTACAAGTTTACGGCCCAAGATGTAGGCTCAGAATAAATGAAGCTTTGCATCTCCTTGAACACAGGGTGTTTAAGAGATTTCATTCATTTATTTTTTCCCTTGAGTGAGAAACAGAGAGAAGAAAGGAGGGGGAGAAGGATGGCATCCCCAACAAGGCCATGACACAGCAATCTACCCGCTAGCTCCAGCCAGCCTTGGGTAATGGGCATGGTGTGCCAGACATGAACCCAGAACTTCCCATGTGGGTCAGCTTCACAGAGCATTGCATTTTACACTGTGTCATCATCTGGCCCCCAAAAGGGGTGGATATCGCGATCAGTTTACTTACTTCTGCCCAGCCCCCAGGGCTTGGGCTATGAGACTGTGCAGCCCTTAACCCAGCTCCTGGACAACAGTTTCCAATCTCTAGGTCATAGCAGAGACAATGCAGTTCGTTTGAGACAGCGGTTGGGGTCTCTGGCCTTCTGAACATGGCAGAGGGAGTGGGTCCTCTGGTAAACTGGTTTGGGATTGGTATTCAGGGTCGTTCCTAGAAGCTAAGCCTGCAACTTCTTCTTCCAGCAGTTCCATGATGCCGTAAGCACCTAATTCCCTGTACTAGATTCCTTTCTGCTTGAGGGATCAGCAGTTGGTGTAATAGCTATGTTGCTGGACTCCCCCGTAGTCAACTGCAATTTGAGTGCTGGACCTAGTAGCTTAAACTCACAATGGGTGCGTGTGTGTGCATGCCCAAGATCCCGAGAGGACAATGGAGGAGAAGGGATTGTGATGTGACCATCCCCCCTAGGGGTGATTCCTCGCTTTCTGTCTGTCTCTCTCCGTCTTTCTGGCAAGCACATTCGCCCTATAGCAAAACACCCCCCCCACACACACACACACACAAATTCCTTTCTGCTTGAGCTAGCCAGAGTGCTGTCAATGATCTGCCTCTCTGTGCTGACCGATATGCGGTACAGTGAGGGAAAAGAGGGACAGCAGGCAGAGGAAGTTCCTCCCAGCTGGGGTCAGTTGCTATGCAGGGATCTGGGGTAAAAAAGAAAGAGCGGGATGCCATCAGCGTTCCTGAAGAAGAAAACGCTGATGGCATACAGAAAAGGATACAGAGCTGGGAGTAGAAGAGCTGGGTTTCTAAATGTCTATCTCCTCTGTCTGATGAGTGAATGCTGGCAAGTCTGTTCCTCGTTCCTGGACTCAGACATCCCCACCAGCCTCACTCTCATCTCTGACATTCTGTGGCATCAAGTATGAAATACCCAGGGAGCTTGTAGGTAGTCAGGACTCAGGCTGGGATTTACAGCGCAACCTTCTTTAAATGTCACTGTGCAATGCTTTCTTGTTTACAGGGAGATAGACAGCCACAAACAACCTAACAAGATTGCTGCTCTGCTCCTTCTCTGCACAGACCAAGCATCTCGTGGGCTGGAAATCAAGAGGTGCCTCAGGGAAAGGAAGCAGGAGCAGGCGGCACCATTTACCAGCTAGTCCCAGGCCTGGACTCTGGCAGGAGGCCATCATTCATGCCAAGGCTTCTGAAGAAAGAGGCTCTTGAGGTCAGGGCAGGGGACCTGGTTCTAATCTCTGCTTCTTCACTGGCTTTCTGTGTGACTTTGTGTAGCCCACTCACCTCTCTGGGCCTCTGTGGCCTTTATAAAGTAATGAAAATGGGTTGCAATCTGTAAAGGTTAAGGACTATTTATTCTGTTTAACTCTTTATTTTCAGCATCTGGAATAATGCCTGACACATAGGGATTTATTTATTTATTTATGTATTTATTTATTTATTGCTGTAGAGAGCAGGTGATTGCTGGAAGTGTGGAGAAAAAGGAAGGAAGCACCCCCCACCCCAGGGGGGGGGGGATGATCATGCTGCAATCCCTTTTTCTTCAGTCTCCTCTCCTCTTGCTCCATTTTGAGCACACATGCACATAAACATGGAATGTTTTTCAAGCCACTGGGTCCAGGACTCAGACCTCATAGTCAGCCATGTAGGATCCAGCTCCTTAACCATCATGCCTGACTGGCCTGACACATTGGTTTTTAGTCAGTGTTATTCGCTGAAAGAATGACCTGGAATCTGTAGCAATGAGTAGACCAGGGAATGGTTTTAAGCACAAAGGATGGCCAAATTCTGGTGGGTGCTTTGCATAAACCACTCTGGTTGCCGTGTGGAGGATGAGGTAAAGGGAAGACTAGAGTCAGGAAAGCTAGTAAGGAGGCTGTTGCAAAGAGAAGATCAGTGTGAAACCACAGACAAATGAGCTGAGTGCTGTGGAAAGTACAAGTTAGAGTTTTAAACCCTGCAGACTTTTGCACATATACACAGTATCTGATGCCATCTTTACAAAGGCCTGGTGATGGAGACAGTTCAGGCATTAATCCTGAACTTTTCCAGACAAGGAAATTAAGATCTGGAGAGGTGAAATGCCTTCTACAAGTGTGGAGCTAAAAAGTGGCAGATTCAGGACTCAAAATGGTGTGAGAAAACACTTCACATCATTTGTGATCTGGCAAATGTAAGTGAAAGCCACATTGAAATACTTGTAATAGAATGGCTAAGATGAAAAGGACTGATATACCAAATGTTGGTGAGGATGTGGAGGAACTGGAACTCATGCCTCTAGTGAATGGTGAAGGGATACAAATTTTGGAAAACAGCTTGGTTATTTCTTATAAAGTTAGATATCCATTTATCATATGACCAGGGAATTCCACTTCTATCCCCCCTCCCCAAAATTAAAAATATTGTGTTCACATGAAGTCTTTTTAATGAATGTTCATTGCTGCTTTATTTAAAAAAAAAAAAAAAGCCAAAGGACTACACACAACTCAAGTGTCTGCCAACAGGTATGTGGATAAACCAATTGTGGTATGACCATACAGTGGAATGCTACTTGGCAATAAAAAGGAGAGTGACTAAGCAAGCCAGGCAATAAGGAATAATCTCAGACAGAATCCTGAGCATAAGAGTCACTCACAAAAGGCTAAAAACGGTATCACTTGAGTCCATGTATATGGAGATCTAGGAAAATCAGATCTAACCTACAATGACAGAAAGCAGAGCTTGGTGCCAGAAGCAGAGATTGAATGCAAAGAAGGAAGGCGCATCTGGGGGTGAAAGAAATGATCTGAATCCTAATTGTGGAGGCTGCATAGGTGTTTTTATTGATCCCAGGTCATCAAACTATGCCTTTGAATGTGTGTGGTTTATATCCAAACATTCTAGAAGCTGATTTAAGAAAGCGATTGACTCCTTCTCTGGGGCATTCATGGCTCATCCTGGTTTCCTATAGTCTCAGAGCCAGGGAGATACACAAAGCCTGTGGCCACTCACCTAACCAGGGCCAGAGAGCCCTGACCTGCAGGCCTCTCACTATGGGTGAGGATTGCCAAGCCATGGAGGCACAGAGGCTATATGTGGCCATCTTCCTAAGTCCGTTCCCATTCATACTTCCACATCCAGTCATCTACCTTGGTGATGGGGCCTTGCAGGATGGAACAACTTTCATTGTCACCTGCTCAGTGACAGCAGTACTTTGGCTTCAGGCTTGGAGGAGGCCACTCATCACTGGAAATAACCTGGGGGTCCTAGGTGTAACTGGCCTTTGCTCCAGGAAGGTCTCAGACGTGCAGAGACAGGCACAGCTATCTCTATCAACCTCAGCTCCTAGGCGTTTGAGGCCAAAGCTTAAGAGTCGGCCTTGGGGTCTGTTCCCTTTGTAAAAGTGTGCCTTTAAGGCTGGCTTTGTGCCCCAAGGCATCAGCCTTTGGGGATTCTGGACACCATTCCCTTTCTCCTGTCTCCAGTAAAAGCCCCTGCAGTGACCAATGTTGCAGTTACCGACATTAACACTGAGTAGGGTTTGGTGTCTAGGAGAAAATGTTCTGTACTTAATGGGAAGGAACATTCTAGAAAGAAGGAAGAGAGGCCAGAGTATCTGCTGGTGGGGTGTGAGATCACTGCAGGTAGAAAAGCTTGGATGTGAGCCAGCACAATGGTCCAAAGTGAGACCAGTGTGTATTGATAGGCTGTCTGAGTCGCACAGTTCATCTGATTAAAACTCCATTCTACTTCCAGTGCTTGGGCCTGAAGGATGTAGATCTCTCCTCCTCTGGGGTCCCTGGACTGTCCCCCAGCCCTCTTGTCTACATTGCTGTGCTCTCTCCTACCTCCATGGTTTGCTCACGCTGTCCCTTCCACCTGGAACGCCCTTCCTTTACTTCTCTAAGCAGCACATTCTAATTTGCATTCTAGTCTCCACTCCTCCCAGAAGAATTCTTTGTTCCCTCCTCTGTGCTCAGAGAACACTTGGCTTGTTCTGCCATTTATTTCTGGGCTTGTTTTCATGACCACCTCCTTTCACAAGGGCAGAGCCTGTGTCTTTTTAAGCTTCTATCCTGAGCGCTTGTGCCCAGTGCAGACAGGAGACCCAGGGAACACTCGTTGAGAAGATGAGTGCCCTCCATGTGTACTTGGGCAGCTCCAAGGGTTCTGGATGCAGGACATCCAGGCCCTGTGTGCATACGGGCAGCTGAACTCTAGATCTGGGGCAGGACCCTGGGGCTTGGTCCAATAAGCCAGACTGGGCAGCCGAAAAGGGGCAGCCTTGGAAGCAGGAACCCGCCCTGCTAAGCCTGTGATATTTACCAGACTGACAGTTTCCCAGCCAGAGCAGCCTGGAGACAGAGAAGAGCTGGAGAAAGTGGGTCATCTCCACTCTTATTCCAGGCACCAGGGAGAGCCCTGGGGTTTAGCTGTGGCAGTGACGGAGACTGATCCTGTCATTTGCTTGCATCCGAATGAAAGGGATTAGTGACTGCACCAATATACTAATTTTCTGTGCAGCACAGGGCAAGGAGAGCCAGTTGAGATTTTAAAACTCTGTGTGTGTGTGTGTGTGTGTGTGTGTGTGTGTGTGTGTGTGTGCGTGCGCGCGCGCGTGTGTGTGTGTGTGTGTGTGTACTTTAGATGCACAGTAGCTATGCTCATCATCACGTGTGCAATGCTCAAGTGCAGATCCCCACACATATCTGATGGGATGGAGAAAAGGCATGATTAAGCTTTACAGCATCTACTGGGAACTTCCCTGAGCCTTAGTTTTCTTGTGTGGGATGCAGACACAGTGACTGTCCCCGCAGGGCAGCTGTACAGACCCGAGTGGCAGTGAAAGGGGCCTCTCACAGGTATGAGAAGTGTTGTTCAGAAGTGACTTCCGCTTATGTGATTGGATTTCCCAGCCCTTCCTGGGCACGGATGACAATCGGGTCACCTCCTAACCCTCAAGATCTCCTTGCAGGCCACATGCCTCTGACTCCCAAAGGGAGCCAGGAGAGGTGCTACAGCTACAGGGGACAGAGGCCCATTGCAGAACCATGAACCCAGGAGGGGCTGACCCTGTTCGCCCCTCACATACTCTGCAACTCTGGGTGACCATCTTCCCCCATTTTCCCCTCAGTTTCCCTTCTTGCACAATGATAGCTTAGGCTGTCTTGGAGCCCTTCCAGAGCAGGGAGGGAGAGACAGCAGTAGGTGCACGGCTGGGCAAGGCTGGGCATGGCGGGGTGTTCTCAGTGGACAGGGCAATGGCCCCAAAGCGGGGTAAAGTCCAATTGCCAAAGGCGTCAGTTATTTCATCCTTCACCAATATTTTGTCCCTTGGCCTCACAGTGCTGCCCTCTCTCCCCAATTACGGAGCAAGTCATGTTAAAATAAGGTTTTCCTCTTAACTTAGAAACTAAGCCCCATTGTGTGGTCCATGACAACCTCCCGTATGAATGAGACTAGCTCTAATGAGGCCCTTTCCCAGCACCGAAGCCAAGTAGGTGCCCTTCCCCCTTCTGCTTGGCAGACAGCAGTGTGGACTGGGCCTCTTTCCTCGTTTCTCTTGCTCCGAGGCAGGCAGGGAGACAGGGCAAGGATCTCTTCCTCCACTTCACAGATGGATGAGGGCTCCCTGCACAGTCCCTTGGCTCCCACCTTTAAGGGGTGCCAGTAGGCTCTGCCTTAGGAGACTCCTACTGCACTATGCACCTTTGAGCCCCTTGCCCAGTCTCACCCCTGCTGCATGCCCTCGCTCGTCTACGGCAGGCCAGAGCAAATGTCCGTTGCTCCTCAGGCACACACTCCAGCGTATCCCCCTTCCTTCTTGACCTAGAAAACTCTGAGTCCCTCTAGGCTCGACTCCAACTTTGCCTCTGCGGCATGTAGAAGCTGCCCCTCTTGTTACCCTGGCCCTAACCTTTGGATACCCCTAGGCTCCGGGGTGCATCTGATCGTGTGGGAGCTCATTTAAGCCTTTCCTGCCCAGGGGAAGGGAGCTCTACAAGCAGGTCTGTGCCTCAGGCCTCCTCACATCCCATCGTCTCCCAAGCCCTGCACCTAG